ATATACTGAATTTCTTTAGCTTATCTGTAAAATAATCAGGAAATCCTGGATATTTTCAGTACAAAACTCTTCAAATTGACGTTTTTCTTTTTCATGTTTGCTTGAGTTCTCAGCTATGTGATTGGCTGGTATGAAGGCGATCAGCGGTAGCACTGAGAGAACAAGCATCACTGTCAGAGCAAGCGTTTCTAAAAGCTCTCTTTGACCTCTTCAGTGAGCTGTTAGACACCCGTCGCAGCTCCTGAACAGCTGTTTGGCACCCTGGTAACAGAAGAGAACTCACATTCATTACGTGCTTCCAGAGTGCTGGGCATTAAAACACTCCCAGAGAGAAGGGTCCTAGTTTTGCTATCACCCTTGGCTCTCAGATGTAATGTACACTTCAGTAAGTAAGAACTGAATAAATAGATTGTATAAAAAGATTACTTGAGAAAAGTACAGTAAGCACAACCTCCCAAATGAGCCAATCTCAATTTACACTCGAATTGTTAAAAAATGCGAGTAGACGAAGGTCTTCAGAGTGGTTTTTGCTGTGCTAGTTCCCAGTGTCCACGGGGAAATATGAATCATCATCAAGTTCATTCAGAATGAGTGTCTGAAAGGAAGGCTGTGTCCTGGCAATACTGCAGTCAAGTGCGGCTGGTAAAAGATTAGGCTGGTCTAGAAGACATGTTAGAACAGTTTTATATTTAAACACACCCATTCATACACATCTCACAAAATACTTTTGTACCTTTTGAGACCAGCCTGGCCAACATGGCAAAACCCTGTCTCTACTAAAAATACAAAAATTAGCCGGGTGTGGTGGCATGTGCCTGTAGTCCCAGCTACTCAGGAGGCTGAGGCAGGAGAATCTCTTGAACCTGGGAAGCAAAGGTTGCAGTGAGCCGAGATCATGCCATTGCACTCCAGTCTGGGTGACAGAGTGAGACTCTGTCTCAAAGAAAAAGAAAAAAATGGAGGCTGTCTTATAGTCATTTGTGCTAGAGCTGTTTAATCAGTTTAGGTGCCTTATTAGAGTATATTATCTAGAACTATAATAGATACAGTTCTCAACATTCCTGAGGTGGTAATAATAGCATTCCTATATAAAGCATAATTTTACAAAGTATTTTCATACATACCCACTGGCTCTGTGCTTTAGCCTTCTCATCTCTAAAATAGAAGTAATGGTAACAAGAACGATTTGTTCAAGTCAGTAAGTGGAGGAAGTCTGGTCTTTTCAGTGCAAAGTCTGGTCTTATGTTCAATAAAGGTCGTTATTTCTGTGTAAAAGCAGCTGGAGCGAAGGAAGGAAGGAAGGAAGGAAGGAAAGGAAGGAAGGGAAGGAAGGGAAGGAAGGGAAGGAAGGGAAGGAAGGGAAGGAAGGGAAGGAAGGAGAAGGAAAAGGCAAAAGGGGTGGAGAAGGGGAAGGGAATTTGCCATTGATATTTGTAAAAAGGAGTCCTAGAGATTGTTCCCTACATTTGGGGTTCATGAAATAGTATGAACTTAATAGCATGAACTTAATTGTAAGACTTTTCATCAATTATTTAAGAAACAACTTTGACAAAGTTACAGCATTACTGGCAATATAGCATTACTGGCAATACATACTACATACTCATGATTTGGCTGCTCTAGCTCACATTCATTAGGGAATAGGTTAAGACAGTACTATACTAAGAACAATCGTGCCACCTAGTGACACTTCTAGTTATTGTCTCTAAAATTGCCTATGACAACCGTTCTAAAAAAAAAAGATCCACTTGAGACTGTGATGTGTGCAATCCGTCATCTTCATCATTTTTCTATACAAGAAACCTTTTCTTGATATTTTAGTATGTGATAATCCTTTACATCCTTATTCAGATTTCCCAGATGATGTTTCTAAGGGACCATTTTATACCCGATTTTTCAGCAGTTTATGTTTCTATTTCAAAAACTGTTTCTTATAATTTAAGAAATATAAATTTATTTTATATTTCTGTTTCTTATATTTTAACACATATCAATTTTGAGATGCAAATCGGTGTAACTGCTGCTTTTCAGGATAGACAATATTAAATATATACATTGTGAGACATTCTGATCAGGCTACAGGTACTAATTATTTAATTAGGAAATTACAGGTTTAATGAGAAGCACCCACCTTGGTCAAAAAGGTTAGAAGTTGGACACTCCTCTTGCTTCTTCAGTTATACAAAGTTGAGCAGGTCAGGTAGCTTCAGTAATCTCATCTGTGAAATGGGATGACAATTCCTACTTTATCCACTGCCTAGAGTTCTGAGGATTAAACACAGTAACATGCTTGTAAAACTGGTTCATGACCATAAGAAACTAGTGGTGGTGTTTCCATAATCATTTTCTTGGGAGAAGCGCAACTACGTGGGCTCAGGTGACTGCCCTGCTGCTTATTCCCTGTGTAACTTTGAGAAGTTACTTTCTTGCCCCTTGACATTTCATTTGTAGAATAGGGATAATAAAAATACCTACCTCAGGCCGGCCGCGGTGGCTCATGCCTGTAATCCCAGCACTTTGGGAGGCGGAGGCGGGTGGATCACTTGAGGTCAGGAGTTCGAGACCAGCTTGGCCAACATAGTAAAACCCCATCTCTACTAAAAATACAAAAATTAGCCAGGTGTGGTGGTGCACACCTGAATTCCAACTACTTGGGAGGCCGAGGCATGAGAAGCACTTGATTGAACCTGGGAGGTGGAGGTTTCAGTGAGCCAAGATTGTGCTACTCTACTTCAGCCTGAGTGACTCTGTCTCAAAAAAACAAACAAACAAACAAACAAACCTCAAAGGGCAGTTGTGTAACGTGCTTAGTACATAGTGAATACTCAGTACATGTTCACTATGGGACCCCACACACACACACACACACATTCTCACTGCAGTGGCCATGGGATCAACCAACTTAGGAGATTGTCACTATGTGGTTCTCAAGAGGAGAAAGATATTAAGTAGGCAAAGTTTTCATTGTCATCATTAATAATATTTACTGGACACCAAAAAGAAACAAGGTCTTGGCCCAGGTGTCTTCCACTACTGGATTCCACAACACTCTTCACAAGTAATATAAATGAAACAGAACAGTGTGTCAGGTAAACATAAGGCAGTTGAGAAACAACTACTTTTTTTGGTTTTAATCTTCAAAACTTTTCTCTCAATTTTTCAAATCTGGCTTTAAGCAGATCAATAAAATAAGCACAGTTACAATTATGCCAGAGATGGAAACAAGGCTGAGCTGCAGGGGAGGAAACAGGTAGGACCTGGAGAGGCATTTTATAACCATCTGCCCCGCTGAGTCCACGCTGCCCGCTCTTGCCTGGACAAATGGCAACAGCCTCCATACTGGCCTTCTTGCTTCTCTTTGTGCCCCTCCATTCTAGACACAGCACCAACACTGATTTTAAGAATGTACATCACCTTTCTTCCCTGCATTTCACACTAGGATTCTGCTCCAAATACCCTCCCTGGACCCATATCATCCATGTGCTCTCCCGATGCTCCTGCCACGCGTGCCTTGGAGTGGACAGCCTCACTCTGATCTTCACAGGGGCCCCGGACCTCCTTCCTGTCATTCAGATCTCAGCTTACCACCCCCTCAGAGGCCTTTCCTGACCACCCTGTCATGCCTGCCCAGTTCTCTGCACAGCACTGACCTGATCCTGCACATGGATCGTCTCCCAGCAGAGAATGCAGTCTCACAAGGGCAGCATCCTTGTCTGTCCCATCCCCGTTATCCCCAACCCTTGCAACAGTATCGGGCACAAAACAGGTGGTTGACAGTGGTTCAGTGATCATCAAGATTATCCCACCATATTTTCCTGTTTCCTGTGAAACACACAGCAATTCTCCACCTGGTTTTGTGACACTTTGTGGTGACTTTAAGCTTCTAAGTGGAAAAAAGAGCCAGATGTGGATTCTTGTATTTGTTAGATCTTGGGCAGGAGCTTCAGTCTAAACCTCAGGTCTATTAATATAAAGTAGAACTGATACCTCAGAGACCGAGATTAGGTAATGTGACAGTTCATGAGCTGTCCCCTCATTCTGATGATAAAAGGAAGCCCAGGCTAACTGTTAGCAAGTGAATACAGACCGGCCTACTACCCCAAGTTGTAAAGCACCCATATTAAACAACATATAAATGCTCTGGTGCTAAGCAGATAAAATACCATCACAATACTTTTAGGAGGAGAAATCGGTGTTGAACAATGTTGGTTAATTTTTTTAAACTGATTTTTTCCTTTTTTAGATTGTTCTCTTTATTCTCATACTTTGGCCTTAAGGATTCTAAATGCTCAGAGCAACCTTGTCTTTCAGCTTTCTAGTCTGTGTTACATGAACTGCTTTCAAACACACAACCTGGGATAGAATTTTCTGAAATTCTGTTCCAATAATCAATTACCCCAAGATTATTTTAAATTTCAATAGTGACTACCGAACTGTATCATAATAGAACAGAAATGTCCTGACTCTTTTAGGCATTTGGGGCTTTTCATAGACAGTACCGTGCTTCCAGCACTGTGAGCTCTGAAGTTAGGTGCCCTAGGTTGGAATTCCAACTCTCATGTCCTAATAGTTACCCCGATCAACTACTCAACTATGCCAAGTCCTCCCACTTGAAATACAAGGCTAATAAAAATCCCACAAGGTGCTGGGAAGATTCAATAAAAACTGTGTAGGCACAATGCTCCACATACAGTAAATGTACAACAACTAATCTTCAGAATTTTGCCTCTTCTCAGAATCTTAGATGAATGCAATGTTTAATGTTTTCCCAGATATATTTATATTTATCATTTACTGACTAGAAGCATGAAAGAAACAATGGCATAACTAGTTTGCACTGCATAATAATGTTAAAGGGTACTTAAAAGTTCTGAAGAACACTGTCCCATACATATGAAAAATCAATTTTACCATAAAACCTGAGTCATATGAAGTTGAAAACCTGAAAAAAGGACTACCCGCACCTATCACTCATTTGTTTAACTTGCCATTACACTGCATTTGAGTCAGCATAATCTTTATTTCAAAATAACATTTTTATTATATAAAAATGTAAAAATCCAGCAAAACCAGAAATACGAATATATTTTTCTGGGCTTTCACATTTCTTGATTTTTATTCGCGATCTCTTTTTCAATACAATTTACACCCTCATCCCCATTTCCAGTCTGATTATACAAGTGCTAAGTGGCAGAAAGGTCTGGAATAAATACATCAAAAAGAGGCAAAGCTGTGAAACTAAGTTGCATGCAACAGGTTCTATGAGGGTGGGGGAAGTGTCTGAGAAATAAAACAGAGTAAGACAATGTAATTGGAAGGTTTTAGCTAAAGTTCTTTCAGTCATCTTTGTCTTTTGCTCCGTGTTTCAGGATGCGCGTGAACTCGATGTAATTGAAATTCCCCTTTTTGTCAATAGGTGCTTCTCTGTACAGCTCATCCACTTCCTCATCTGTAAACCGATCCCCCATGGTTGTCAGCAGCTCTCTCAGGTAATCTTCCTGAATGGTGCCTGGAAGGCAACAGAAAGAAGAAAGCAGTCATTACTACTTCCTGGCACTTTAACGGTTCATTTCTAAAGCTAGTCAATCTTATAAAATATTTCAGAATATCCATATCTAGAAACAAAGTAAGTTAGTGAACTAAGGCTATATGAACTATACCATTATGTTTTCCAATTATTCTTAGAGTTCTGTTAATATTAGATCAAATCATTTAAAAGCTCAGAAACAGATCATATACTTACAAAATTATTCTTAAGCAAATATTTTTCCAAAGGTAAAAAAAGAAAACCCTTTCTATTTCAAGAGAAGTACTTCATATAGTCTGGAATGAGGCTGGGCATAAACAAATAGTACTCACCTGTTGCTTCTTCATCAAAGCAAGCAAAAGCATTTCTGATGACATCTTCAGGATCTGTGCCATTTAACTTCTCACCAAACATGGTGAGGAACATGGTGAAATTGATGGGGCCTGGTGCCTCATTCATCATGGCATCAAGGTATGCATCAGTGGGATTCTTCCCTGTTAAAAATGCACATTTTAACATTTAAAGACAAAAAAATCTAACTTCAATAGTTATTTCACTATTATGCTCCCCAACATATTTTAAAAATTTACATCATTTGACACCAATTTTTCAATTAACTTTAAGAACATTTTTAAAAGATTATTTTTGACAACTTAAAAAATATTTGATACATCATTATAAAAATGTATTCCAGGTTTACACTGAAGGCTATTTATTCGTTTATGTGAACTTTCTCTTCATTATTTTTCATTAAAAACAAAACAAAAACCTGAAGCCAGGCAGTGCCACATTATTACAACTTTTTTTTTGGGGGGACTACAGACATGTGCCACCACGCCCAGCTAATTTTTTATTTTTTGTAAAGACTGGGTTTCACTATGCTGCCCAGGCTGGCCTTGAACTCCTGAGCTCAAGTGATCCATCTGCCTTGGCCTCCCAACGTGACAGGATTGCAGGTGTGCATCACCACGCCCAGCCTATATCCTGAATGCTGATAACATCAACGGTTCATCAGGGGAGTCGGTTCAATAGAGTCACTCAAAACAATCTAAATATTCACATTTCCAGTTGTGGTACGGATGCCCATGAGTTGGTATGCTTCAAAGTTGTATTTATAAGTTGGCCATTTAAGTTTAAACTATTAGCATGGTTTTGAATTGGGAGCTTATTTTGAACAATGTTAGATATCTTCAAACACTGTGTACACACGTCATTGAACTGTGGTCTTATTTGGTATTGTTTGTAATGGGAAATCTTAATCTCCATCCCAAGTGTGAACAGTTCTTTTAGTGCAGCGGTGAACTCCCCTGACCTCTCCCTAGGAGCTGGAAGGAATCTCCCTGGAATGGCCAGACATGGTGGGAGTGTTTCTGAGGCCCCACGGTGTGGGGGAAGCAGCACTGAACCAACGGTCTGGAATACTGGGTTTGAATCCCAGTTCTCACCACTGGTTGTGGGACATAGGAGGAAGTGGCAGAACTGGCATTCAAACCCAGTATTCCAGATCCTTCATTCAGTGCTGCCCTATGCAGAATTTACTTCTTTTTTAAAAAAATCTAACACTGACTGGTTAAAGTTTGTATCTCAAAGGTATCTTCCAACATTAAGTTTATATGATTTTACATGAAAAGAATATCTATTAGTCAGATATTCGTATCTAAGGAAGCATCTCAAAATTACACCCAACTAAGCCAAAGCTAGAATGACAATCAAAGCTACAATTATAGTTCATATGTAAGTTTTAACTCTGGGAATTTGGGTGAAATTTAAACATCATGTTGGCATCTATTTCACTGCATTCCAATCCTACCTGATTACACTTACTCAATGCTCCAATATCAAAATTAGCCCAAAATTAAACTCAAGATTCACTGAATAAGTTAAAGTAGCTAAAAAAGATCTACTTTCGGCTGGGCGCGGTGGCTCACACCTGTAATTCCAGCTCTTTGGGAGGCCAAGGCGGGTGGATCACAAGGCCAGGGGATCAAGACCATCCTGGCTAACACGGTGAAACCCTGTCTGTACTAAAAATACAAAAAAGTAGCCAGGCATGGTGGCAGGTGCCTGTAGTCCCAGCTACTTGGGAGGCTGAGGCAGGAGAATGACATGAACACGGGAGGCAGAGCTTGCAGTGAGCTGACATCACGCCACTGCACTCCAGCCTGGGTGACACAGCGAGACTCCATCTCAAAAAAAAAAAAAAAAAAAAAGAAGAAGAAGAAGAAAAAAGATCTACTTTCCTACCTCCAGATTTAACCCAATCACTTGCAGCACTTTTTGGGGGGAAGAAAAACTGTAACCAAAAGGTGTGAAGAGGACTCTAGGGTACAAAAAGCTACAGGGAGTTAAAATGAACTGGTTTAGGCTAAGCACTTACGGACCCGCTCAAAACACGCAATGTAATCTGTTGATTTGAAAGGTAAATACGTATCTTTTGAAAATTCATATTTATTTCAATTGTTATGGGTACACAGGAGGTATATGTATTTATGGGGTACATGAGATACTTTGATACAGGCATATAGTGCATAATAATCACATCAAGGTAAATGGCATAGCCATCCCTTCAAGCACTTATCATTTCTTTGTGTTACCAACATTCCAACTATACTGAGTTATTTTAAAATGTACAATAAATTACTGCTGACTGCAGTCACCTTGTTGTTCTATCAAATACTAGATCTTATTCATTCTATCTATACTTTTGTATCTATTAACCATTCCCATTCTTCTCCCCACCATTCCCAGTCTCTGATAACCATCCTTCTACTTTCCATCTCCATGAGTTCAATTATTTTAACTTTTAGCTCCCATAAATGTGTAAGAACATGTGAAGTTTATCTTTCTGTGCCTGGCTTATTTCACTTAATATAATGTCTTCCATTCCATCATGCTGCAATGACAGGATCTCATTTTTTATGGCCGAATAGTATTCCATTGTACATAAGTACCACATTTTTAAAATCTGTTCCTGGTGATGGATACTTATGGTGTTTTCAAATCATGACTGCTGTGAATAGTGCTGGAATAAACACGGGAGTGCAGATACCTCTTCAATTATACTACTCATTTCCTTTTTTGGGGGTATGTACCTAGCAGTGGGATTGCTGGATCACGTGGGAGAGCTCCTATTTGTAGTTCTCTGAGGAACCGCCATACTGTCCTCCACAGTGGTTGTACTTATTTACATTCCTACCAATAATGTATGAAGGCTCCCCTAAAAAGTAAATATATATGCTAAAGCAAACTAAATACGGCCGGAGAAAGACTCCGTACTTCTCATCTGAGTCCTTGTGGATGAACTATAACCTAGCTTAATAGTCCGACAAGATTGAAAACCTAACTTAGGAGTAAGAGCCTGTAACAATTGCTAAGTCTTGGCCAATCCCAGCAGCCATACTTCAACCATTCATACACTGCTGAGTGTTCAAACCATGTTCAAATAAGGCATATGCCGAGCTGTAATCAATCCAGCCATTCCATACCTCACTTCCAACTTCTGTACGTCATTTCCCTTTTTTTGCCTATAAATCTTCTACCACGTGGCTGTACTGGAGTCTCTGTAAATCTGCTGTGATTCTAGGGGATACCTGATTCGCAAATTGTTCATTGCTCAGTTAAACTCCCTTAAATTTAATTAGGTTGAAATTGTTCATTTAACACATATCTTTAAAAGGATGGGTTTCTGCAAAACAGAAGGCCTCAAAGACAACCTCTGACTCTACCACAACTTGTTCATTCAACAAATATCTATTGAGCATCTATTATAAGCAGAGTATAGACTTGAGAGTTCAATCTTTGGAAGACGGCTAAGTTCCTCAATTTTCCTCAGAGGTCTTCTTCAGTACTGACTTGCCCAAGAATATACTCAGACATTCTGAATGTGAGAAACACTAGGTTATAATCTCACTGCAAGTCAACAAATCAGATAAAAATCTTTGATTCTACTCTCACCTTGGATAAACAAAAGCTACAAAATGTTAACAATCAGTGAATACAGCTAAAGATGTACAGGTGTTCACTATAACGTTCTTTCCACTTTTTGTAGGCTTAAAATTTTTCAAAATCATATGTTGGATAGGAATAAGTACACACCTAAACTTTACTTTCAATGTGTTAGGAGAAATAATCAAAATCAAAAGTTAGAAGAATAAAAGCTAGCTAATCATTTTGTAGGCATTAAAAGAAAAAAAAAAACCCACCTTTCTTTGCCTTTTTGGCCAGTCAGCCAAGCAGTAGGACAGAGTGCAAAGTCTCACTGTAGGCCATCCCTGACCCGCTCCCAGCCTGCCTCAACCCCTCCGCTTTGGCCTATCAAGGTCTCCTTTGCCTGCAGTTCCTTGACTCCCAACTGTAAAATAACTGCTGACTCTGGGCAGAACATGTAGGATGCTGCCTCCTGTCCTTTTTAAGATCAAAAGAAACAATAACAAAATCATAAAAGGATATTAACACCCATATACCAACATACAAATGGCTGTTTATGTGTGCTTTAAATCCTGTATCTTTACATTTTCTTTAGTTATTAAAAAAAGTCATACAAAATATTGTGAAAGTCTTCTTCCCTGTTCCCTTTTCCAGTCGCACTGCCCCTCCTACACAGAGATAACCATCATCACTTACTGTCACTCCTTGTTTATAACCTGTACTCAACCTTTATTAAGTATATTATTTAGCTATACTTATTTGAAACTCTGGTATTTTGCTGCCTAGCCATGCCCTGGCTTTCCATCTAGAGACCTAAAAAATTTAGCTAACAGGAACGTTAGTCTACCTGGGCACAGCATCTGCCAGGTCCCCAACCTTATAGGCTTATCCCCATATGACTGGCCAAGCCCCAAAATGGCACCTCCCACACCTGGAAATCTCTCTAGAAGCCTTCTGAGACAAGGAGAGAAATATTTGTACATCACACACAAAAATGATTCATGAAGAGACAAATTATTATTTTTGGGAAAATACAAATAAAGAATATAAAGTCTACCTAGAGAAGCAAGCATATCATGCAAATCTTCCTTGTCGATGAAGCCATCTCTGTTCTGATCAATCATGTTGAAGGCCTCTTTGAACTCCTGAATCTGTGACTGGTCAAACATGGCAAACACATTGGATGTTGCGCGCTGAGGGCGCTTCTTGGTGGTCTTGGTCTTTGCCTTTTTGCTCGACATGGTGGTTGTTTAATTCTGGAGTTTAAAAAGACACAAAAACATAAAACAAAAAAAAACCCCCAAAATTATAAAACAAAGCAAAAACAGAATACATAATACCTAAAGTTAGTATGTAAAGATATCAATATGGAATTATTACTTCAATTGGATAGGAATAAGTATGCAACTAAACTTTATTTCCAATGGGACAATTAAATGACTGAGTGGAAAAAAAGCAGTTTTGAAACATTAAGGAACAGAATTTGCCAGGCACCAGTGGCTCATGCCTATAATCCCAAGACTTTGGGAGGCCAAGGTGGGAGGATCACTTGAGACTAGGAGTTCGAGACTTGCCTGGGCAACATAGTGAGACTCCCATCTCTAAAAAACAAAGAAACACAATAGAAATTATTGATGTACCTTCTCCTAAATTTCAGGAGACCGATTTTTATGAAGTGAGACTTTAAAATATCTAACGATAGCTAGCGTCTATGGAGTACTTACTCTGGCCAAGCACTGTTATGAAGGCCCAGGGCTTCCTCAAAGAGAAAGTCTCCAAAGTTGATCTCTTACTCTGACAAAGACTGTCCCCATTTAATCCTCACAACAGTGGCCTATGGTAGGTACTCTTTTTCCCATTTTACTACCAGTATAATATATACTCTCTGAGCCTCAATTTTTCATCAGTAAAACATGATATCTACTTCAATGCAAAGAACTAAATGAGATAACATATGTAAAAAGACTAGTCATGTTCAAAAAAGGTCTCATCTTTATAAATATCAAACCTACCCTTTCATCTTTCTAGCTATCCCTGCATTTCCCTTTTCCCTTGACAAGACTTTCAGAATACCAGTCTGATGCTGAACTGTCATTTTTCCTTCTGTTTTTTATTTTAGAGATGGGTGGTTCTCACTATATTGCCCAGTCTGGTCTTGAACTCCGAGGCTTGAGAGATCCTCCCAAACTGCTGGGATTACAGACAGGAGCCACCGTGCCCAGCCCCATTTCTCTTCTTCCCAATCATTTCTCGATTCTCTGTAAAATGGCTTTGGTAGTAGCCTCCAACACTCTACTGAAAGCCACCAATAATTTAAATATCAAGCAGAAAAGACAGTTGTCATTTCATTTCTTATGTGCAGTTTTATATAATAAATAACACACAAAAATACCATCAGCTCTGGAGTTAGGAAGTCGTAAGTTCAAATCTCAGCTCCACCATTACTAGCTACATATAACCTCTGAAAACCTACATATCTGAGCCTAACAGCTTTCAGTGAGTTCTGTGAGTCTTAGCAAATAATCAAACTCAAGGGTGGTCTTAGGACAGCCAAACTTGAAACTGCTGTCAGCAATGATGGTCTCGCAGACTGTTTCTGTAACTTCCCACAATGTGAAAACAAATGACTAGACAGGTCAATGATCGAGCAGGGGGATTTTTGGACCTGAGTCTCCAGGACTTCCAGTATTGGGATTTTTTATATAAATTTATTGTCTACTTCTATTTCTTCAAGCTAAAGAACACGCACAGGGTGTTTTGAAGCTTGACTTAGTGGTGTAGTTTTGAAGTACACCAGCCTTACAGTCCTTACTCTAACATTCCAACTCCTCACCCTCCCCATGTACAAGTCCTAAATAAATGTTAATTTTCTTCTCTTCCCTGTAACTTAAGTGTTATTTGACCTTAGTTATATCGAAGGTTAAACAGAGACAGAATGTAGTCTACTAACAAGGCATTTGATTATGTTTTCATTCCTGTTCACATACCAAAACTTATAAGGTTCATTTTAATGCTAAAAATTTTGACTCAATTTCTTCGATAGTCAAGTACGTCTGAAGGCAAAAATGTTAGTTCTTTCTCTCTCAGTATCAGCAAGTCGTTTTTGTAATCAAGTTATTTAGAAAAAGTTCCCAATGAGTTAAATATTTATTTTTAAAAACTAATCAAGCCAGGCGCGGTGGCTCACACCTGTAATCTCAACACTTTGGGAGGCTGAGGCCGGAAGACTGCTTGAGCCCAGGAGTTTGAGACAGGCCTGGGCAACAAAGTGAGACCCTGTCCCTACAAAAAAATAAAAAAATGAGCCAGGTGTGGTGGCGCATGCCTGTGGTCCCAGCTACTACTTGGGAGGCTGGGGTGGAAGGATCATTTAAGCCTGGGAGGTCGAGTCTAGTGAACCGTAGTGGTGCCCCTAACCTCAGCCTGTGTGACAAGACACTGTCTCAAAAAACCAAATCAAATCAAATCAAAATCAGTCAACTGTATCATGCTACTTCTACAGTTAACCCAAAAATATACTATATTTAAACATTTTTGAAGTTTAGTCCGAGTTCTCTAAGAAGCTGATACCAAGATAGAATTAAACACCCAAGGATTTTTATTAGGGGAAATGCCTGTGAGAAAGAATATGTAGGTAGTTAGCCTGATAAGGCTAGAAAAGCCATCACCATCTGATGGTGATGCCCAAGAAAAGGAAACAGAGAAGGCAAGTTGATGGAAGAGAACAAAAAACAATTCACTAACTGGTCCTAATCAAAATACGTTAGAGCAGATAAAGGCTCAATGTGGTAATACCATATTTTAAATTTGTTTCATACTTCATTTAAAAACAGTGGTACATTTGTATATGTATATGGTACCTATAAAAACACACACAATATCAGCTGAAAAGTGAGGCAAAATTGCATCAAAATAATCAATCTGAAGGTAACTCTGGCCCCCAAAGAAATTACCACCCTCTCTCCTTCCCTTCTGAAATAAGTATCTTGGCTTCCTCCACCTTCTCACTTCCCACTCACTTTTCAACCCACCACAATCTGGCTTTCTGTTTTCTACAGCAACTGCTTTAATTGCCAAATCTGGTCTACATCTTCTTGGATCAGTCTACTGCATCACACTATTTTATCCCTCTTTTCTTTGGAGATTCAGCCACTGTTAGCCTGGTGCTCCGTAACAGTAGAAATGAACTTTCCCAGGTGGAAAGGGTCCCAACCTTGAAGAACTTATGCTCTAATGAGGAAGACTGATTATGTACAATGGTGTATTTGACTTAACTCTAGCTCAGTTCTCCTATTTCTAAGACTTCCTCCTCCATTTCCCTCTTAGATGTTTATCTCCACTTAAATATTCATGTTTCCCAGTATTCTAGCAGCACATGGTTTAAAGTTCTTTTCAGTCTTCATTCCTTGGATGATCTCATCAACTTTCACTGTTCTGACAACACCTACACCTCCCAAATCTGAACCTCCAGGCCTGACCTTTCCTTGGAGCCTCGGACTCACACATCCAAATGCCTGTGAAAGGCACCCATCTGGATGCCCCATAGACACTCATAATCAACATGCTGAAAACTCAATTATCTCCCCGCTCCTGAACTTTACCATCTTTGTTTCCAATCATCTACCCAGTAGCCAGAAACCTAGGAGTCACCCTCCCCAATCCCTCTCCCTGATGAACCAAGCCCTGCCTCTAAGAAATATTTCTCAGAGATGCTCTTCTTCCTCATTCGTCTGTCACCACCCTAAACTGGATCCTCATTATCTCTTGTGTAAAATATTTCTATGGCCTCTTCACTATCCCCTTGCCTCTCGGCTCTCTCAAAACTACCCTTTAGTTTTCTAGCCAGGGTTGTCTAAAATATGAATATGACCTCATCATTCCACTTTTTAAAATCTTCTTTGGCTCTCCACTTCCTAAAAGTACCAAGTTCCTAAACATGGCGCATGAGTCTTCCTTTCCCTACTCTAGAATGACGTTTCCAGTCTCCTCTCTAGTCATTCCCTGCTTTGTACTTTTCCTTTAGCAACACCAAACTGCAAATGTCCCCAAGGTACCATGCCATTTCTTATCTTGTATATCTTTGTTCTTGCTATTTTTCCAACCCCAATTGCCCTGATCTACTTCTCTGCCTTAGGAACACAGAGAGAATTAAAGGTCTACTCAACTTACAGCTACTACCATTTATTAAGTGACTCACATGCTGGAAACATTATGTACGTTAACTGAAACATGCCCCCCTGCCAAGTGAAGAAACTGAAGGTCAAAGATATTAAATAATCTTGCCCAAGGTCACCTCGCGGCAGAGCTAGGATTCAAATCCCATTTGTTACAGGTTGTTTCTCCCTGTATATTTTCTACTTCCTACAAAATACTCTTCTAATTATTTTGAGTTTAGCATAAAATTTTTAGAACTTGCCATGCCACCAATATAATTCAACACTGATTTCTGAGCACCTACATTCCTCTAAATGCAAATCCTAGACAAACTGAGTTTTCAAACCAAGTCAAACTATACCAGAGACACCAATGTACAGAATAGAGTTGCAGTCAGTAAATGAAATGTGAATGGCACTGCCTGGAATTGTGCAGTGTAGTAGTCCTGGTTGGGTTTAGTCAGGTGGCAACTATCAGTCATGGCTTTCCTTTGAAACTCTGATCTAGGACTGTCCAATTTATTCATGTTTAACCAAGAGGCTTTCAAAAACAACAAACAAAAACACAAAAAACCCAACCCAACCCTTAAAGACAGAAAATAGCCATACAGAACATAGCACAAAATGAATGTAATAACCCTCAACAGCAGTAAAAACACTTCTTCCTCCCTCTGCAACACTGTTACTGATATTGCTATAAATTTCTAATATAAAGTGAACTAAAGGATATAAGTAGTACTCAGAGGTTACATCAAAGGCAGGCATGTAGGAATTGATACAGCAGTCCCTTCTTATGTGAGGGGGATACATTCCAAGACTCCAGTGGATGTCTGAAACCAGGGATAGTACCCAACCCAAACAGTTAGCCCTCCATATCCACAGGTTCCACACTCAGATTCAACCGAGAATCCATTGTTCGTTTATTTGGAAAAATACAAACAAAAAATACAACAATAAAAATACAAATAGAAAATACAGTATAACAACTATTTATATAGTATTTGCATTATATTAGGTATTATAAGCAATCTAGAAATGATTTAAAGTATTCAGGAGGATATGTGTAGCTTATATGCAAATACTATGCCATTTAATATGGGGCACTTGAGCATCTGCAGATTCTGGTGTCTGCAGGAGGGTCCTGGAACCAACCCTCTGCAGATCCTGATGAATGACTACATACACTGTTTTCTTACACATACATACCTATGATAAAGTTTAATTTATACATTAAGCACAGTAACAGATTAACAATAATCAAACAGAACAATTATAATATACTGTAATAAAAATTATGTGGATGAGATCTCTGAAAATATCTCACTGTACTGTACTCACTTATTTTCAGACCTCAGTTGACTACAGGTAACTGAAACGGAGGAAGCAAAACCATGGACAGTGGAAAGCAGCATCATATAAGACTACTGTATTATGTATTATAGCTGGCTGTGGTATCAACATACATAGTTGATAATAAAAACGTTTGTAAAGTCACTTGCAGTACTGACATGCAAACAGAAACATGGACACCATCATCATTAATAAGTAGAAACTGTCTATGTACTTCAGCATATACGGCTCTATCGAAGCCTGGGGAAGATGCTCACAGAGCACATTCTGTTAGCTACCTATGATTTCCTCACCATTGCTTTGAGGCTTCTTCCTTCAAGTATCTGAAGTCAGCTAGAGCAAGTAAATACGGCTCCTAAAGCAGTTAAATCCTCTGGTTTCAATCTTGGCTGCGCATCAGAATCACCTCAGAAGTTTCAAACAAGTGATGCCTGTAGCTACAAGGTAATGGAAGGTCTGGGGGTGGAGCCCAGGCATCTGTATTTTAAAAAATGCACCAGGTGATTTCAATGCACATTGAAGGTTGAGAACCAGTTAACTTAAGTTAACCACTTAGACCACATTGGCTGTTCATGCATCTAGCTGCCCTTAGTTTTTCAATGTTGTCATTATAGTTTAATGGAGATGTTGGAGACATGGATTCTAATTCCAGTTCTATCATTCACAAGTTGTATGATTGCTGGTCATTTCGGCTTTCCCAGGCCTCTTTTTCCTCATCCATAAAGTAAGTGTTAAGTAGATCAGAAGTCATAACCTGGCAGCTACCAGACTACATGCAGTCTGCACAGAGGTTCATTTAGTAATCCGCAGGGATGACCTTTAAAATGCCTCTTTTAAAAATGGAATTAGTTTGCCAACATTTAAAAAAGCTGAACATTTTACATAACCTAAATTTCAGATATTTTAAACAACTGTACAATAAGGAATCACTTGACCAGCATCCCGGAAATCCCTGTAGGTGGTAAGTGTTCAACAAGCAATCCCCTCTACTCCCTCCATCTCCTCATCCCAGCTGGTATTAGTTTGTTATCTGTCTGGCCCTCAGAACACTTCACCTTGCCCCTCTGGTCATGGTGGCAGCCAGCTTCCCAGAAAGCCCTCAACAATTCTCATGCCCTTGTGCAGTCCCCTCCAACAATGAAAAGTGTTGACCTGTGTAACCAATAAGATACTGTGACAATAAGATATTGTGGGCCGGGCGTGGTGGCTCACGAGGTCAGGAGATCGAGACCATCCTGGTTAACACGGTGAAACCCCATTTCTACTAAAAATACAAAAAACTAGCCGGGTGCGGTGGCGGGCGCCTGTAGTCCCAGCTACTCGGGAGGCTGAGGCAGGAGAATGGCGTGAACCCAGGAGGCAGAGCTTGCAGTGAGCCGAGATTGTGCCACTGCACTCCAGCCTGGGCGACAGGGCAAGACTCCGTCTCAAAAAAAAAAAAAAAAAGATATTGTGAAATGAGGGTGTTTGGCTTTGTCATAATACACCTTGTAGCTTTTTCCCTGCTCTGTCTTGGATCACTCAATCTGCGGGAGCCAGGTCATAAAGACACTCACACGGCCCTGTGGAGAGATCCATGTGGCAGGGAATTGAGGGTTCTTGCCAACAGCCAGCACCAACTTGTCAGCTATGTGTCAGCCATCTTGGAGGCTGATCTTCCTTCAGACGACTGCAGCCCCCGCATGCCACCTCATGAGAGACCCTGTGTCAGAACCACCCACCTAAGCTGCTCTGGCTCTGACCCTCAAAAATTGTTCACTGTTTCTGAGGTGCTAGGTTTTGGAGTCATTTGTTATACACCAACAGAAAAGCTACAAAGCCACTGTCTCCTTGGCCTCTTTAATGTTAAAATAGGGCTATGCCTTTATTTCAGAATTATAGTCACAGTCCAAGTTCCAAGGGACCACAGTCAAGTTTGCATAGCACAGGGAATTTTCTATTTCTGAAGAGAAAAGTTTAACTCCTTCTACTCAGTTTTCATTCAAGTTCTGTAGGTTCTTTTTACTGCACGAGTCACCCTTCCTCAACATTCCTATCACCCCCATCCTATTCTTTTGGCTGAATTCCTCTGGCTCTGACCAGCAAATCACTTCCTGATTTGCTAGTTATTCCTGCTTTCTAATTAGAGCCTCAAAGCTCTGTCCTTTTTCCTAAGTACTAACTGAAAACCTGGTAATATAAAGGCACCACTCAAAAACGAGATAATTGAGGAGAGGAGGGAGGAGCTGGTTTTGTGAGCAAAGGATGATAAACAACTCAAATTTTAGCTGGGCCACAGTAGAACGCTAGTAGAGGACAGGACTCTGAGGGGGTCTTGTTAGCAGTGCTGATGTGTGTGAGTAAAGCCCCCAGAGTAGATGAACTCACACAGAAAAGCAGAGAGTAGTTCTTGGGCTAAAACCTAAGGTCATTTTTACTCCACCTCATCTTCCTCAAGGTCTATCAGAATCTTTAGAAATTTATCATGGATTCTTATGGTTATTACTGTAGTCAAGATGAATGTTCTAATTGGAAGACTCAAATGACTGGACACATAAGCAACAGTCTGAAAACAGCAGTCATAAACAGAATTTAGTTTATATCAAGTTAAAATACTTCCGAAATTAACCTCATATACCTAATGACATATAATTGTTTTTATGCTGCATATTTAGGCAAAAAAGATAGCTCCATAAATTATTAGAAGTATTTTTTTTCAAGGAGTCAAACTCAATTTTTTCAACTTTTTTTTTTAACACCATGAAGCATTTCCCCTAGTACTCTATATGTATTTTAACACTTACCACATACATGTAACACTGACATTTCTTTCTCTATTATAGGTTTTATGATCATTCCAGTTGGCTGCAAACTTTCTATTCTGAGCCTCCCATATCATTTTGTTTTACTGCAGTGAAATTTATATAGTCGAATGTACAAACCTTAATCAGTTTTTATAATGTGTATACCCATGTAACTATCACTCCCATTAAGTTACAAATGTTAACATTGTTCCAGAAAATTCTCTCCAAGTTAATCACCATCTCCCATAGGCAACCACTGTTCAGATTTCTATCACCATAGATTAGTTTTGTTTTTGAACTTCTTATAAACGGAATTGTACAGTATATAGTCATATATATGCCTGTCTTCTTTCACTCAATACAATGTTTTTGAAATTCACCTCTCTTACTGGGTTTATGGCACAAAGTTCACTGCAGCCTTGAACTCTTGGACTCAAGTGATCCTCCTAACTCAGCCTCTTGAGTAGCTAGGACTACAGGCATGAGCCACCATACAGAGCTACTTTGCAAGGAGGGGGTGCGGGGGTAGAGACAGCGTCTCGCTATGTTGCCCAGGTTGGTCTTGAACCCCTGGCTTCAAATGACCCTCCTACCTTGGCCTCCCAAAGCACTGGGATTACAGGTGTGAGCCACCATGCCTGGCCATATTCATTCCTTTTACTGCCTTCTGCCTTTCCACTTTGGACTGTGGAACTTAGTAGTGTGCCTTGCACACGGCAGGTGCTCAAATAATCCTAGTTAAGCAACTACATATATATATGTATAGTATATATAGTTGTATATAGTGTGTATATATAGTTCCTTCCTGTAACAAACAGAATTACACATATATGTTCATTACAAGGTAGGTCCCGGATCTGAATTCCAACATGAGGCTTTTCTCTATGGTCTACCTATGGTTCCAGTCTCTTCCCCAAGAGATCCCTAAGGAAACTTAGCAACTACCCACTGCTCCATACCTGGAAGAAGCAGTACTAACCAGGGACAATAACTGAGTGCTAAAGATGTGCCAGGCACTGATTTAAGGATTTCGTATGTATTAACACATTTAATCCTCACGACAACTCATCATATAGGTACTGTTATCATTCTCTTCTCTCAGATACGAAAATCAGGGTAAAGAGAATAAACAACTTGCCACACCGCTAGAAAATGGCAGAACTTAGAGTCAGGATCTGTACTCAGGAAATCAAGCTCCAGAGCTTGAACCACTAGCCAGTAACATCCTGCATACAGGCAGCTGAAATTCTCTGCCATGAAAATGTGGATAGCTGGGAGTAACAAGCAGTGATACCCCAAAGTTAAATGTGTGGAGTGAGGAAGGAAGATCCCAAAGATGCTGGCAAAAAGGGTACGATAAACTTATCCCCAAATATACCTGGAGTCTTTGAATCTTGGGAGAAAAGGAAAACTAGCTCCATGTTGGGGCTCTACATCCTGTTACCTTTCCTAACCTTAGCAACTCTCGTCTGGGGATCTGTCCTTTAGAAGTTGCAGTTCATCTTGTCCAAGCTTAGTCTCATGAAAGCATAAATGAACATCGAGTCAGCCATCATAAAAGTTGTTTCACTCAACAGAGCCTAAACAAGGCAAAAGCTGTGCTCTTAGTTATGAAGTCCAGGAGGGTCCACCACCTTGGGCAAATTACCTCACCTCTCTGGGTTTCGTTTTTCTCAGTTATAAAACGCAAAGGCTTCACAAGGTAATCTATTAGGTCCTACTGAATTCTAAATGCTTTGATTCTTCTCTTACCAAAAGACCATGCCAAATCTACCTTCAACTAAGCGGCCAAATGAATCCTCTAAACATCCCTTTCTTATTACTCCCTTAGTGAAGACTCCAAAATTACTCTCTATGGCTTCTTACATAATCTTTTCTTTCTCCTAAGTTTTCAAGACATCCATAAGAAGGTCCCACTTACCTATCTACCCTTATTTGCTACTATAAGTCGTTATAGTTCTGTTCCATACCCGCCGGTATGGGTTCCACACCCTACGGTCTGCTTTTCACAGGAGACAATTCCCAGCTTTTGAGTTTTGCTCGTTACCACCTCCCACACATCTAGCCGGAAACGCTAAGTTCTCCCTCCTAGGGCTGAATCCAAGGCCTTCAGTGAGGTCACGATTCTTTTCCAAGTAACCTTTCCCTATTTCTGTTAATTGTCCTTTCTTCAGACAACACGAATAAACTAAACCTTTACAAGATGCAAGACACACTAAGCGAATTACAACTCTATGTAAATCATTACATTTGAGCCTGTATCAACCACACACTCGGCTACCGGCATGCTAATAGCTTCCTTGGAGGCTTCACCTTAGGCAAGACCGTGCACTAGGAGGCTCCTGCACCCTCCAAAGCATCTAGGACAGTGTTGGGCACAGGGCAGGTACTCCACACGAACACGCCCGGGTCCGCCCTAATCCACCGCCAGGGCCCGCCGCTGGGCCGGGAGGGCAGGCGTC